GATATCCTCACTAAGTATTCTTTGAATTCTCGCTTCAGTTTTATGCTCATCTCTATGATACCATATGCTGATTTCATGAGATTCTGTTAACAGGATTTCGGGATTAAATACAATATGGAAAATGGTGGACCAGCTCCTGAATCAATCACTGATAAGATTTACGAGAACACGAAGACAATCAAGGAGTACCCAATAGCGGAAGATCTACCCAGTGTAACTAACATTTCTGAATGATCCTCTTATTTTTCATCAGAATTTTTCATCTTGTTTTACTAATCATGGGTTTTCTGGTCTTTTATGATTGAACGCAACAGGTAGATATTTCTGTTGTTGGTAAAACCAGCTTTGAGGGACCTGAAGGAAAATTTGATGTCGAAGTTTTTGATTCTGCAGATGACTACGTTAAATTAATGAAGTAAGTATTTCCATCTTTGTATTTGAGAGAACCGTTCCAGAATGGCAGAATCTACTCCCTCACTGGTCTATGTATTTAAGAGAATGGTTCAGGAATCCTCGTTCTCAATGATCCTAAAAGATTTTCTCATCTCTCTAGGTCAATCTTCGACTTTGAATCCATCAAGAAACTGCTTTCGTCTCCAAAATTTTCGTTCTGGTATGTAGTTTGTCCATAAACCTTTTTGATTTTTTTTCCTGTATATGCACCTTCCATGTTTTATTTCCCATCGTTCCATGAAGCTATGATGCAATGCATGGAGTTGCTGGAGCCTATGCACATCGCATCTTTGTCAAAGAACTCGGTGCACAAGAAAATTCGTTGTTGAACTGCACACCCAAGGTATCATTTTTGTCTAACCCATAAATATTATTCCCTAGAGTGAATATAAAATACACCTTGAACATCTTTTATCACAAAACAAAAAATGTACAGGAGGACTTTGGAGGAGGTCATCCAGATCCCAATCTTACCTATGCTAAGGAGCTCGTGGCACGCATGGGATTGAGTAAAACTGATACTGGAAGTGAGCCTCCAGAGTTTGGTGCCGCTGCTGATGGTGATGCAGACCGTAACATGATCCTTGGTAAAAGGTAGCTTACTAATGCTTATTTCAAATGAGAGCACAGAAGTATGAAGCGGGTATACCACTCGCACCTTTAACCAAAAATATCTCTTCTTCTTAGGTTTTTTGTAACTCCTTCGGATTCTGTTGCCATAATTGCTGCAAATGCTGTTGCGGCCATACCGTACTTCAGCTCTGGTTTGAAAGGTGTTGCAAGGTATGTTAAAATTGCTGCAAACCTGCACTCCGTATCATACATTTCTGTTATTATTGTGTAATATTTTCTCGTTTAATTCTCAACTTCCACTGTTTTATTTCAGGAGCATGCCGACCTCAGCTGCACTTGATGTCGTTGCAAAAAACTTGGGTTTGAAGTTCTTTGAGGTACATGTCACTGGGCAGCTCCTCTCTAGCGTATATTTTTCACAATTACATAACATTCCATTTCTCTAACATAGCTATATTCCAGGTTCCAACAGGCTGGAAGTTTTTTGGCAACCTTATGGATGCTGGGATGTGCTCTGTATGCGGAGAAGAAAGTTTTGGAACCGGTTAGCTTCTGTTGCTAGATCCTCACATCATGTGTTGAAACCTTAACAACACCACACATCTCACAAAGAAGCTTTTCCACAGGTTCGGATCATATCCGTGAGAAAGATGGGATCTGGGCAGTTCTTGCTTGGCTTTCCATACTGGCTCACAAGAACAAGCAAAGCCTTGAAGGGAATGCAAAACTGGTGACGGTTGAAGACATCGTTCGCCAGCACTGGGCTACTTATGGCCGTCACTATTACACTCGATACGACTATGAGGTAAAGCTGTTACATTTCATTATTTGGGTTGTATACAATATGAATATTAAACAATACGGCTTACGAATTCCTAAAAATCTCCTCCAAAGAACGTAGACGCAGCTGCAGCTAAAGAACTCATGGGGCTCTTGGTTAAGTTGCAATCTTCACTTCCTGAAGTCAACAAGTACATCTTTCTTCACTTCTTTTGAAATAAATTTCCTTTTTTACTTGAATGACTTTCGCTCACTCATCAGTTCTTGGATTTGTTCAGGCTTGTGAAGGGACTTCATCCGGAAGTGGCAAATGTTGCAAGTGCGGATGAATTCGAATACAAAGATCCAGTCGATGGCTCTGTTTCAAAACACCAAGGAATCCGATACTTGTTCGAGGATGGATCACGACTTGTAAGTCAATCTGTTTTCATAGCACAATAACACTATTCAAGGCGATCAATAGTTGCGAAAATGTCAAAGAGGTCTGAAATAGTAAAAACTAATCCCCGGGGTTGTTTCTCTTGTCCGAATAACGGCATGAAGGTGTTCCGTCTTTCGGGAACTGGCTCAGAAGGAGCAACAATCAGGCTCTACATTGAGCAGTACGAGAAGGACGCCTCGAAGACTGGCCGAGAATCTAAGGATGCTCTCTCCCCTCTGGTCAGATTCGCGGATTTCTCTTAACTACTGTAGTTGAAAAATTATCCAATCGAATATTTGTCATGATTATTAAAACACCAATTTTTGATTTTTTACAGGTTGATGTTGCTCTAAAGCTGTCAAAGATGCAAGAGTTCACCGGCCGATCAGCCCCAACCGTCATTACATAAGACAGCTTTCCGGCGATGCCTGTCTCTTGAAAACTACTCTTTTATTCCAACTTCAGTTCTTATGAATTTGGGTTTTGCTTTTTCTTGTTAATTACTCGACCTCTCTGTTACCTTACAAAATTATACTTCTAAACATACTTTTAAATATACATTTCTAAAGTTTATATGAAAGATCCAAATCGCGGATAAATTTACAAAATATCCGGTTTCTGATTTCAGGTTTCGGATAGATATACCATTCAGATAAATTTACCTGAAATTATTCTTTAGAAGTTTATAATTCTAAACCAATTTTAAATTCATAAATTTTTCATATTCTTACGGGTTACAACAAACAAGATCAAACGTATCATCGTCTAATATAGTCTTATATCATAATAACCATACTACATCCTAGTTGACACATGCATGATCACCGTTATATTTTTTTTTTGTTTGGTTACATGATCACCGTTATACTACATCCTTAATTTAGTCGCTACGTTTACATGTTACCTTACGAAACAGTACATTCACTACAAAACTATCTAATTCGTGCTATGGTTATATATGTAATATAGTGGCTCTTCGTAGTAGTTTAGCAGTGATGGACGGATGGTAATTCCTAAACTGCTGAAGACTAGGGTTCAATACATATTTGAAACTTGGACTTCTGCTTCTAGATTAGTAAAAATTTGGGCTTGTTCGGATGATCGATGTGGGGTTCAGTGCGCGATAGAGGTTTTTAGTCCTTCAAATCCGAATGTTTAATACGATATACATGTGTCAAGGCATGTGATAGTTTGTTCAAATGGAAACAAGATGAGTAGTCATGGGTTCACGGGTTCTTAATTGGTATTCAAACCCAAAAGACAAGAGAAGTAAGGTAACATAACCATCCAAACACTCCTCCCAGTTTAGCCATTCTTCCTTTGTCCTTTCTTCATATCTTTGTCTTTTACTAGGCTTTTGTCTCAACAAACACTAATGATTTAGCTAGCCATCAATTTTTTTTATATACATAAAATTGATGGTCAGCTATTTTGTATACATGTTATGAATAATAATCTTAGAATTAGAAATATTATGGATGTGTGTTAAGAAGAATTATAGTTAGAAAGATATTGATTTTATGATGTAAATCATGTCCTAGCTAACTAAAAATTCCAAAGTTTTTAGTGAGTCGCAAAACTCATACTAACTAAACTTAAGAACTCTACTTGTTTTGATGGATGTGACTATAGTATATTGCATTTTATGTGTGTTCGTATGTTATTTCATCACATGTGAAAAAACTCTAATTGAGTTGGCTTTTTGTCCGTATTATACTCGTACAAATAAATACAAATTACATGCGATTTCATATCACCACATTTTTAAATAGTGTATTGATTGTCCTTCCCTCGTTTATCTCATATTTAAATCATATTAGATAGTGATCGCGCGCCAACCGAAACATATGGTATCTTGAAAACTAATTATATAACAGATCTATAGTATTTTATTGTTGTTATTATATACATGGAGGAGAATCATGGACCAATCATTATAAAACAAAAATTGTAACCAAAAAGTTCCGATCCTTATACCTCAGATGTATCTTGTTGACCAATAACATTTGCAAAAATTATTGAAATTGTCCTAGTGTAGTAATAAAACGCTTTTAATTGTTACTTGGTTAGGTATAGGGCCTATAGGCAGAGAGTTAAAA